TTCTTTTTTTCTTTTTAAAACCTTCTAAAATTTTTTTCCTCTTGTTTGATTATTTTAAGTAGCTTTTTTTTTTTTTTTGCTGTTTAGGAAAATTTAAGTTGCATTAGAGCATAAGCATTGAGCAAGCATGCAGGTTTTCACGTACCCATTCTTGTTAAAGGAGCACTGAAAACTGAAATGGATTTCTTTTTCTTCTTTTGAGTTGATTGGTAAAATAATGTGTGAATCAATTAATAGTGATGTTCAGAAACAATTAAAACTTTTTTTTTTTTTTTGTTGCTGTGATTTTTTTTTTTTTTTTTTTTTTTTTGTTGTTTTTTTTTTTTTTTTTTTTTTTTTGGTTGGGATGGATTTGCTTCAAGCTCGGGTAAGGAATACTAGAATTGATGCTAATATCAAAGTATTGAAAAAGAAAAACGTGTTGAAATTCTGCTTGATAACATCTTTCCAATATAAACTCTATTAAGTACTTTTGATTCACAATTTCAAGCAAAAAACAAAAAACAAAAAAGAAAAAGAAAAAGAAAAGTACTTTTGTTTCACAAACTTCCATAATCTGCAGATTTTTATGGTTTTGGGCTTTTGGCACTTGCGCCTATTCCAATTTCTGCCGAGGAGCACATTTGTACCTTTGGGTTTTACTATTAGTCATTTTATGACTACATTATTCGATTATAATTTGAATGAATACAAAACAAAACCAGAGTTTGAATACATCGTTTAGTTAATTATAAGGTGATAATTAATGCCAACACAATAAGGCGTCATAAGAACCTTATTACTGATTAAGGCTCCGTTCATTTTACCTATTCGAGTTTAGAATTTGAGTTTTGATACAATAAAAAATTTTAAAAAACAGTCACATCTAACTTTTTTGTTACAGTAAAAAGCTCTTACATAAAGTCACATCTCAACTCAAATTAAAAACTTAAATCAACAAACTAAACGGACCCTAAGATTTATTGCATGAGTAAACATATAGGGCATCTGTGGTAACACCACAAGACCTGGCAAATTACGTGGACAACCAGCTGGCTGGTGATTTGGTATTTTTTTGTGGGACTCTTGATTGTTTTAGAAAATTAATTAGAGCCCGTTTAGTTCGCTAATTCGAATTTTTAATTTAAATTGAGATGTGACTTTATGTGAGAATTTTTTATTGCAACAAAAAATTATATACGACTGTTTTTAAGAGTTTTTTATTATATCAAAATTTAAATTTTAAATTCAAATCGATAAAATAACTAAAATTTTAAAAATTACCTTGAAAACTGAATAGGAATCAAAATAGTTAAATTTTCGCACAGAACCCAACGTCCAGATATCTCTCTTTCTTCTTCCTTCGTTCATTCTTCCTCCTCCCTTCTTTACTTATTTGCAACTGGGCTAAAAAAGGAAGAGAAAGATTTGGTTCATTTCATCAAATTGGTCCTGTTTATTTCATCGATTTAAGTTTAGAATTTGATTTTATTACACTAAAAAGCTCTTAGAAACAGTCATATTTAATTTTTTTACTACAATAAAAAATTCTCACATAAAGTCACATCTCAACTTGAATCAACGAACTGAACATTTAATTTTATTACAATTAAAAAATTTTATAAAAAAATATATTTAATTTTTTTATTATAATAAAAAATTTTCACATAAAATCATATCTAAATTTAAATTAAAAATTTAAATTAATATAAGAGTTCAAAAAGAGTAAAATGCCTATATTTAGTTGCTTAAAAAATAAAAAAGCTGATTTGGTGTCCACAATCATAAGAAACCCCGACCCTTTGCCTTCATTCTCCCTCTCCTCCGGTGGCCATGCCGCCATAGCCGCTGCTGCGCCGGTCACCATTTCTTTCTTTCTCCCCCCCCCCCGGTGCCCATCCCGCCATAGCCGCTGCTGCGCCGGTCACCATTTGGCTCGCGGAATGTGACATGACCACCGATCTGCCTAGACCATGCGTATCTGCCTAGACCATGCGTGGCTGCCCATTTTGAGATGCCTTTATGGAATAACTAAAGTAAGAAAAGGGCTCGTATTTTATATTTAAAAAGTAAAAAAAAAGACATTTTACCATTGTTATTTCAAGAACAAGGGCAAGAATCAGTAAATTTTGCCCCATAACTGATTTAGAATAAAAAAAATTTAAAATAAATGAATTTTTCGATCAACTTTGGGAAAATTATTCTCTTCTCAAGTTTCATGTTAACAAAGGCATACCCAAACCTGGGTTTTGGTTTGGCAAGGGAAGGTGAGACTTTGGGAGGAGACGTGAAGAAACAAAGACGGAGAGAGAAGGAGAAAGAAGAGAAAGAAAGAAAGGTGCGTAAATAAGGGCTTGTTCTTTTAGAATTTAATTTAAGTATAATTTTTGAGTTGAATTTAAGTTGAAGTTATAACTTGAGTTTGTGTTTAGTTGTGTACATTTGACTTATGGTTTGAGATAATAATCTTTTTGAGTTTGTGTTTGAGTGAGTCAAAACTTAAATTTGTGTTTAGATAGTATTTTAATAAAAACTCAATACTGATGAAAAATTTTAATAGGGTATATGGGTGGGATTTTATTCATCTTTTTATTGTCAACGCATAGAAAAAAAAATCATCTCAATCATAATTAAAACGAAAAAATTATAATATTTTTAAGAATAGAAAAAATACTGTTCATTAATTTGAGTTCGAGTTTCTGAACTCGAGTTAAAAGAAAAACTTAAACTCGAGTTTTAATCTCAAATTTAAATTTAAACTTAAAAGAATAAAAATTCAAATAAAATTATAATTTAAATTATATTTTTTTAAAATTTTCACTCGAAAGAGCGAGCCCTAAGTTTTGTAATGCCCCGCAAGTTATAAAACAAGTTTTTTGTGCAACTTTTTTAATTCTTTTTGAAGAGTTTATGGGTCCCGCAAAAATCCATGTATGCTGTCATGTAGCGCCAACGGTTGTGTTACAATAAATCATTGAAATTACTAGCTACAAAAACGACAACAATAACGGCACTCGATTACTGTTTTATTATTGCTTTTGTAATTTGTCTGATTTTTTGTGGATCAAATTGGTACCGTATAGGTTTTCAAAGATTTGTCAATGCAGGATTCAATAATGCGATTTCAATTTTTTAAGCCCTAACCAAAGCCTGAAAGAGGAAAAAAATAGATAATTTATCTTTAATAGTGTATGAATTTAAATTTTTATTCATTATTTTTTATAAATATTTTTTTACTAGTGTAATTTTAATTAAAAAGATTATGAATAAAAATAAAAAGTAAAAATCGTTACCCTGTACTTTTAAAATGTTTGTTAATATTAACTATAAGAGGGACTTCCTTTAAGGGCCCAACTAATGTCGTTTCAAGTTGGACTTTTATCGACATCAACTAAGGTTCATTTCTTGCAAGGTTTCCAACAATCACACGCCCAATACTATATAATATAAGGATAAGGAGAGAAATAGCATAATTAATAAAGTGATTAGTAAATTATAGCATATTTTTTAAAAATAGTAAATTATAACATAATTTGATATTTTAAGTTTTAAACATTATTAAAAACTCAAAAATACCCGTAAAGTGATTAGTAAATTATAACATATTTTTTAAAAATAGTAAATTATAACATAATTTGATATTTTAAGTTTTAAACATTATTAAAAACTCAAAAATACCCGTAAACTTCCTTTTCCACCTCACTCCTCCCTCCTAAACATCTATATTTTTAAAAATAGTATATTTTATAAAATAGGTAGATTATAGTCAAGTCTAACATGGCCGGGACCCTCGGTTAGCTCCGGCAACCGGAAACCATTTTTCAGCAACCTGTGACCGTTTTTCGGCAACCAGTGACTATTTTTCGTGTCAATCATAACCCAACCCATTTATTAATCGTGTTAATCGTGTCAACTCCATTATGATTTAAATTCATTTATAGTAAACTCAAACCCGCTAATTTTGTGCATATTTTAAGTCGTGTCGTCATGTCGCTACCTGAATTGTCAGCCATAGTAAGAGTAGTTTATTACGGTGTCGTTTGGTTGTAGATTTGAACAAAAAGTCTAAATAAAAATTCAAAATTTTTTGTGGATATATTCCAAGCGATCTAGTTATAGCGAGGCTTCCTGAAATGTAAAAAAATGCAGTGCATAAGTACATATTATTATTTGTTACGAAGCTGCAGGGTTGGAGGCGTCACAATACTATTGATCTTTTTTTTTTCCCTCTTTTTTTCACCTTAACAAGAAGTACATATTATTATTTAAACTACAAAACTTGCATAAACAACATGAGTTAGGTATCTTCCTGGTATAAGAATTACACCTACTTGGTTACTTTGACAAACGATTCATCTTATTCCTTTTTAACACGAGCATTTTTCTCTCAAAAGTTTCAAGTGCTAACTGCTGATATTCCATTGGCCACAAATGCTAAGCACGATGTATTGAACTCATAATTCATTAGATACTTTTTATGAATGTTAACTAAGTATTGAAGTAAATTGTTCCTGGTTGCCAGTCATTTTTTGATAAATGATCGCTATGAGTTAGACAATTTGGTTTTTTTTTTTTTTCTGTCGTTAGAGTGGAGAACTGAACTAAAAATTCTCTCTCTTTATCATCAACCGAAGCACTGTTCGAGATCCAGGATTCTATTTTATCATCAATCCAAACGTAAATCAAGTACAAATGAGTTTTTGAGGAGAACTCGATCGATTTAAAAAAATTAACCCCTTTGATATTGTATACTTAAAGAAGAAGTAATGCATCAGAGAAATGCAAATAAATAAGGCATTGCTACTTTGCTACTATGCTTTTGGTAAATAAATGAAAAAGGAACAGATAGACTAGAATTTTAATCAAACAAAAATCTTTCTCTCGAATATTTCATGACGATGCTATATAATATATATATATATATATTTATATATATACGGAGTGATGCGTATAACTCACACTTTATTATTAACAAGAAATAAAATCATCAGATTCATCAATGATAGCATATAATATGTTCTTTAATTTGGTGTTATGAGGCTTTGTCGTTGCCATCCTTCTTCTAATATTCTATGATGATGATTTGCTGATACATTTATCAATGGCTTTGGTCTTCTGTAAATTCCATACAACACAAGCTGTGCTATTCCTAGGACGAACCCAGCTCCATTTGTTACCTACATTTACATAGTCAGGATGGAGCCAGAAAAATAAATTCAGTAGGGACAGGGCGTGTACTAAGAATTTCATCAGATTTTACACAAGTCAAGTGAGAGAGTTTTTATATTATGAGGTGGGGTAAATGTAAAATTTTGATATTTTAGGGGAGGTAAACTATAGATTTTACATGTTTCACATAAAAGAAAAAAAAATATTCAGGTAGAGTGACCGTCTACTCTCGATTCTATATGGCTCCACCCTATAGATAGTACTGCATAAAACCAAATTTTCACGGATATTTTCACAGATTTTTTGTAGAATATTTTGAAATTTTCACGGATATTTTCACAGAAATTTTCATTTCTGAATAAAACGTAATGTTGAATGACCGAATATCGTAGAAATTTTTACATAAATTTGCAGAAATATTGATAAATTTCCATAAAAATTTCCGCAACTTTATATATATATTTACTATTTTACTTTTAAAAAAAAAGACATGTTTAAAATTATATAAGGAACTATTCAAACTCTGTGTCTTGGTATCAATATTGTTTAAATTAAAAATGTGTTCAAAACACCTTCCAACCTCTTAGAAGCTATTTTGGTATTGATAATTTATCATTATATATGAAACCATGTATGTATGGTTATGGTATATGTATTATGTTGACTTTCAGCTATTTTACTTAATTTGTAAATGTGTGCTTAGTATTTATAGTATTATGATCACACTTTACCTTGCATATTTATTAAATAATTAGTATTTTAATTCAGAGTTTCATCTAATTAATGTATTATTATCTATTTTAAGATTTTCAAAATCTCATTTAAAAATAAAATGTTTTAGTATGAATTTCTATTTTTTATATCAATTTTTGTTGATATCAATATTTCTATCGATATTTTTTATAAAATTTAAATACTGATATTTTTATAAATATCGATATTTTCATCCTTTTACATGTGCTTATAATTAAAAGAAAGTATAACATGAACTTACCCCCAGGAAGTAATAATCACCTACAAGAAACGCGTATAAAGTCCAAATTCCTGCGTTGAGTACAAAGAAAAACGACAGCAAGAAGGGCATGAATTCCACGCTCTTGGTCCTTACCACCGTTTTCTGCGCATACAATTATGGGATTTAGCCTAATATAAAGGAATATTATCACTGATATTTCTGAAGTTTAAAATCATTCTTAATTATCTTCTGAATTTTAAAAATTCTCGCTTTATTCTTTAAATTTTACATTATTCTCATTTAATTCATTATATTGTAATTTATGTTCAAAACAAATAAAAAAAAAGAGTAATGCAACTACGTGATCTTTCTGTTTGAATTTTTGTAAAAAAATAGATAAAAACCACATAACCATACTTATCCCCCTCTTTTTTCTTTGATTTTCAACTAAAATTCTTACAAAAAGATTTAAATAGAACACTTTCAAAATTTTAGGAGTAAAGTGAGAATTTTTAAAGTTTAAATGAATAAAGTAAGAATGACCATAAAATTCAGAGCACCACTAAGACTAATCCTATAAACATAACACTTACGTTTGTTATGTTTTAAATTAAAGCAACTTGGAAGACTGAAGAGGATGATTAGTGGTAACCATATGTTGAGCTCTTAACTGCTAAAACATGACTATTTCGTGAGGGAAAAAAAAATATATTAAACAGATCTTAACCAAATCCAACTGATAAAGAAGGATTAAAATATGTAAAATATTATACATATACTTGTTTTGACCGAGAAAAAAAATAGTTGTGTTAAATATGGTTTTTTGTCTACTTTCTTACCATGGCGGCTAGAGGCGATACATACATGATAACATTTAATGCGGCACTGAGAAACCCTATTGTATTAATTCGCATCTCTCCTTGCAAAACTAATTGCGCTACTAAAAAGGTTGCTGCTAAAAATCCCACGTCCAATATGCCAACAAGCACGATAGTTTTCACCTGAAATTTAAAGTGAAAAAGAGATTATGACTGGAGAGTTTCTCTAATAGAATCAGAAAAAAAAAAAAATGAGCTACTAATCTTTTTTTATTTGTTAGTCGTTAGATCTATATTAAATACTGTCGGTTCAAGATATTTTTCAATTTGATATCATTTTGATAAGATCTAATAGTCAAAAACTAACCCTATCAGTACGGAGACTTATCAAAAAAAAAGTCCATCATAATTGTTGATTTCGATAATATGGATGCAATATAAAGGTCTGTTCACTTCGCTGATTCGAGTTGAGATATGATTTTATGTGAGAGCTTTTTATTGTAGTAAAAAAGTTAGATGTGACTGTTTCTGAGAACTTTTTACTGTAGTAAAACTCAAATTCTAAATTCGAATTTGTGAAGTGAACGGGGCCTTAATGAAGATTGTGGTTGGTACCCTCATCTTTGTTGGGGCATACAGAAGAAACAAAGCGACGTAGATGGTTTCAAGGACTGCTCCGAAAGCACTCATGGGGGCAACAAGAAATTCTCCAGGCGTTATGATCCCATAGTAAGTCCACAAGGATGAACTCAACAATGAACAAATGTAAGGAAGGTTCTCAAAGTCTTCCGTCGAACGGTGCTTTATAATTCTCCAAAATGTCTTTCTGCATATCACATACCATTTTATAGATTATAAGACAACAAAAAAAAAAAAAAAAAAAAAAAAAAAAAAAAAAAAAAAGAGCTTGGATTTGATGACCAAAAGGAAGATGTGATAACCAAATAGAGCTCTTAAAAGTACTTTGGAAAGAACTTACATGGGTGAAAGAAACATCAACACTGAAATAATGTTCGCTGCAATATTATTAATAAAAGTTAGCTTGTCTTTTTTTCCTGCATAAAAGCTAAGCTAAAAAGCATATATTTCAAATGAAACTTTGTAGCTACAGATTCAGCGTATATTTTTCTTACCTGTAATTCCAACAAAGAAACTCAAACGTTCCATTTTTGATTTAGCAAAAAGAGATAGACAAGGCAAGGAAGATGAATTTATCATTTAAAAAAAAAAAAAAGACCATGATCTCTCCAAGAAAAAAGCGAATACAATATTTTATTCCTGCCAATAAAAAAAAATTATTTAGTCAATTAAAGTTGGTTACCCCAGGGACGGTTGACATTAATTCACGTCCACATCATGGCTTTTTAATTATTTGAGAAATGAAAATTTTTCAACGAGAGTAATGTAGGGGCATCTGATCATCAGGACAAATCGTGTACATTGAGAGAGAGATTGAGAATAAAGCAAATGAATGGGTGTCATCTGCAAATTAAATTGATAGTTGACGGTAAGTAGACGTTTGGTTCACAAATTTAAAATTATGATTCAGAATTATTCTTGATTTACGTGTATTTTTTGTGAAAAAATATTATAAAAAATCACGAATTATGATTCAAATCATGACACGAATACACTAACCAAACAATAATTAAGTGTGAATCACATGCTTTAACTTTTCATAAAGCTAAAAAGTTTCTAAAGAGGGTTACTCATTTTATTAATTTGTTTTATTTTTATTTTGTGTTTCTCCTTCTATCACATGTCATTTCACTTCCTTATAAGAATAAAGCATAGTATGGACCATTGTTTTTCCTCTTTATAACGACTTTGTCATACTCTAAAGCTTTGATAGGGAGCTTCGCAGCCTCTCCCATAAGGTTTTTTGTTGATCACGGTGTACCAGTGGCGTTGTTTCTGAGTTGTCAGGCTTTTTCCCAGTCTTATGGCAACTTAGCCATAGTAAGTTACTCTTTTATGGGATCCATCAAAGTCTGTCCTGTTCGAACACCTCGCATACATTTGTCTAATCAATACTCGACTGCGCAAGGTACTCAATTAGGACATAGATCAAATTTTCATCGTCAAGCCCTGAGGCTAGTCGGGCGGGGGCATCAACCTCAGCATTCTCCGACCTAGGGATCTTAAGGATCTGGTGGCTTTCGAATTGTTGGAGTAACTCGGCCACCTTCTTCTGGTACTTGACCATTTTTTCCACTGTAATCTTGTATGCGCCGATTACCTGGTTGACGACCCGCGTTGAGTCGCTATAAGCACGAAACCAGTCCGTGTTTAGTGCCCGTGCTAGGCTTCGACCCGCAATCAAGGCTTCATACTCAGCTTCATTGTTGGACGCCTGAAACTTAAACCTTAAGGCGTAACTTGCTCGGTAGCCATCCGATCCGACCAGCACTAGACCGAAGGGTCCGATTACCGTCGTTTCAAGTTGGACTTCTCTCGAGATCAACCCAATTAATGTCGTTCGATCGAAGTCATGACTCTTGACATTCTTGTAATTTGTAAAGTTCCCGGTTTACTTATATTCCAACAAGCACATGCAAGCTAAATGTCCCAAAGCAGAAAATTATTAAACTTACTTTTAGAGTGTGTAAGTATGGATTTTTATCTTTTATTCTTGATTAATGTTATTTTAATTAATATAGTTATTTGATTAAAAATGATATTAATCAAGAGTAAACGGTAAAAATCTAAACTCATACACTCAAAATGTATTTGTCTCTTTTTTCCTATGCACAAAGACACAAGTTCAAGCCCAAATAATATTCAGAGTTTTTTTATTTCGCTTGAATATTTGTAGAGTTATTACACTGATCTAGTGCTTCTTTTAAGTCTTTTTCTTTTTCTTTTCTTTTCTTTTTTTTTTTTTTTTTTTTGCTAATCGGTATTTCTTTCTTTTTAAGGTAGAAATTTCTTTTAAGTTTGCCGGTAAAAATTAACAAATCCAAGCTCTAGTTATAGCTAGGTTTCCTCTCATCATGTAAATATTGCAGTTTTTTTCACAAATACATGCTGTAATATTCAATGGCTTAGAATTAATAACTACCTCGCACTTAGGTTACTAATTTGACAAATAATTCATCTTATTATTATTCTTTTACGCGAAGTATTTTTTTCCACGAAAGTACATTTTGATCAAGTACGAACAAGTTCCCAAGCAGAACTCTCCATTCAAAGAAACTCCTTTGATAATGTAAAGTGGAGAGTACTTAAGAATTAAGAAGTAATTTAATTTACCAGAAAATGCGAATAAATTAGGGAACAAAATAGAAATGTTTTGCTAAAGTAACTACTATAGTCTCCAATAGTTCTTGAGTATCATTATGTATTTTTTAATTTGGTGTGATGAGTCTTTCTCGTTGCCGTCCTTCTTCCAATATTCCATCATGATGATGTGCTGATACATTCATCGATGGCTTTGGTCTTCTGTAAATTCCATACAACACAAGCTGTCCTATTCCTAGGACGAACCCAATTCCATTTGGTACCTACATTGACATATATATATATATATATATATATATATATACATACATGTGTGTGTGTGTGTGTGTGTGTGTTTGTGTAGCACCACAGAAAACCAAATCATCATCATGATTTAGCTAGCTTTACATATATTGTTTGTTTTATGTACAACACATTATTATTGATTCATACACAACTAATTTTAAGTTATAGAAACTAAGGGGCTGCTCGGCAGCCCCTTTCTTGAGTCAAAAATTCAGAAAAAGCAACTCGAGTTATAAATTTATTTAAGTTTATGTTCTTTTAAGTTTGAACTCGAGTTTGGGACTAAAACTCGAGTTGTTGTTCTTTTGGAGTGTAACTTAAGTGTAGTTTTTGAGTTGAATTTGGGTTATAACTTGAGTTGAAGTTGTAACTTGAATAAAGTTGAGTAAAGTTTAATAAAGTTGAAACTTAAAAGAACGTGAACTTGAATAAAGTTGGAACTCAAGTTGTCTTTTTTTGAGTTTTTTGGACAAAAGAACATGCCCAGTTTCCTCTTCAACTCGAGTTCCAAAACTCGAACTCAAATTAATGTACAGTATTTTTTCTATTCTTAAAAATATTATAACTTTTTCGTTTTAATTCTGATTGAGATGATTTTTTTTCTATGCGTTGACAACGAAAAGATGAATAAAACCTTACCCATATACTCTATTAAAATTTTTCATCAGCATTGAGTTTTTATTAAAATACTATATAAATACAAATTCAAGTTTTGACTCACTCAAACACAAACTCAAAAAGATTCTTATCTCAAACCATAACTCAAATGTACACAACTAAACACAAACTCAAGTTACAACTTCAACTCAAGTTATAACTCAAATTCAACTCAAAATCTACACTCAAGTCACCTAATTCAAAAAAGGGCAAAAGAGCAGTCCCTAAGTAATTTTTAGCGCCTTCAATTAAAAATTTTGGTACACTACATAGAAAGTATGTTAAAAAGTTATATAGAAAGTGATTGATAAGGAAACCATAAAAATGTTGTACTAGTACCGCGGTTTTTATCTTCTTGCTATGATTAATATCATAAAAGTTTCAAGGTGTAAAAAGTATGCGATAATTAATTATCAATTAGCAAAAGTATCGTCGTTAGAGAGATATATGCAATTGTTACGTTTTCCCTTTCCTGTGATTATGGTATAATATATTACAGTGATTGATAATGCAGCTATATATATGAGCTTATTAAAATAAACAAATTAAAAAATTTTAAAAAAAAAGACATGAGCTTACCGCCAAGAAGTAATCACGTACAAGCAACGCATAAAAAGTCCAAATTCCTCCGTTAAGGAAAAAGAAAAACGACAGGAAGAAAGGCATGTATTCCACGCTTTTGGTAGTTACCACCGTTTTCTGCGCAGACAATCATGGGATAAATTATATAAATATATAACCATATGTATATATGCATGTATATATATATGTAATTATGAAAACAAAAACATAACGTTAATTTTACTTTAATTATATATTCATGATTAAACAGTAATTTATAAAGTTATTAAATGGCTAAATAATATGTGCTATCCTTCGCGATATATTTTATTTCTTCGTACCCTATTTCTTCGTACCCTACTGCAAAATTTCTCCCAAAAAAAAAAAATTGTGATGATGAGCAAATATATAGTGGGGTTTAAATTAGCTGAGGAACATCACAGGACATTGGTCCCACGTCCGAACAGCTAATGAACGCATGATGATTTAGGTGGGTCAGTCTGACGAGCGTTCATCAATAAATATATATATATATATATAAATATCTTATATATATAGATAAGTGATAACTATATATATACATATATATTATTATATGTGTGTGTTGAAGAAAAATCAATTGTAGTATATATAAAAGCATCCAACTGTTCATATGGGGAACCTGAGTTTGAATTAGTGGCCCTTCACCAACACGAAAAGAAAAGGTTTACATGACTAAAGCAACTTGGAAATTAATGGATGATTAGTGATAATCATGTTGAGTTCTTAAAGGGCTAAAAACATATATATATATATATATATATATATATATATATATATATATATATTCAACACGATCTCAACCCAATCCATTTGATAAAGAAGGAGAATATAATATGATATATATACATATACATATATATATACACATATACTTGTTCTGACCGAGAACAAATAAACAAAGAATTTTGTCTACTTTCTTACAATGGCAGCTAGAGGCGATACATACATGATAATATTTAGGCCTGCACCAAGAAACCCTAATGCATCAATACGTGTCTCTCCTTGCAGAGCTAATTGGGTTACTAAAATGGCTGCCACAAAAAATCCCACATCCAATATGCCCACAAGGATAGCAGTTTTCGCCTGAAATATATATGAAACTCTCATTTTTGTGAACAAAATGGTACTAAAAAAGAGATCATCATAATTGTTGACCTTATTAGTAATTTACTAATGACTATGTTCATAATCACATATTAATTAACAATACGAAATGAAGAATATTGTAGTAAGTACCCTCATCTTTAATGGGGCATACAGAAGAAACAAAGCGACATAGATGGTCTCAACGACGATTCCGAAACCATTTATGGTGGCAACAAGATATTCTCCAGGCTTTGTGATCCCATAGTAAGTCCATAAGGATGTGCTCAACACCGTACAAATGTAAGGAAGGCTATCAAAGTCCTCCGTCGAGCGGCGCTTTACAATTCTCCAAAATGTCTTTCTGCATATATATATATATATATATATAATATGATCACACCATTTTATAGATCACAAGAAAATTTGGTCAGATTTGATGACTAAATAGGGAAGTTATGATGACCAAATTAATAGAGCTTTTGAAACTTAATTTGAACAGAACTTACACTGGGGAGAGAAACATTAACACTGAGATAATGTTGCCTGCAGCAATAATAAGAAAGGTTAATCATTATAGTGTCTTTTCTGCATGAAAGCTATAAATGCTAGAGAAATCATATACTCCAAATGAAGCTTTGTAGCTAAAGATTGAGCAAATATTTTCTCACCTATAACCCCAACGAAGAAACTGAAATCTTCCATTTTAAGTAAAGTGAAAGAGATATACAAAAGGCAAGGAAGATGGGATATGTTTAATTTCTGCTTTTATGTTTGAGTTTTGGGGGGACTACTTTGAAGTAGTAGGCTTGCAAGTTATGTGGTGGAAGAGGAAAGAAATAGTCTTTTTCTGGGTGGTTCCCAAGGTCTCTCTAATTTGTTTAATATCTTTTAAACCATATGTCTCCTTAAATTTTTGAAAATTATATTATAAATGGATTTATTTACGATTTAAATTAGTCGGAGTTTAATAAAACAGGTGTAACGATTCCGAATTAGACTGATATTCAAATCAGATAGATGTGATTAAATAGCGCCATAAGGTAAGATGAGGTGCCCCACCATATATCATATAGTTTTTTTTTTTTTTTTTTTTTTTTTTAAAAGGAAAAGAGGGGGCCCCCCCCATTTTATATTTTTTTTTTTTTTTTTTTTTTTTTTTTTTTTTTTTCTGTGGCAAGTTATAGGCCATGTTTGAAATTGATCCTGTTTTTTTACGTTTTTTGAGAAAAAAATGAAAACATTTTCAAAACGGCGTTTGGCGCAATAAAGACACAAAATAGAAATGAAAATGATTTTTTGGTTTAGTATAAAATGAGAGAGAAATGAAAAACGACTTTTAGTCGTTTTTCATTTTTTTTTTTGTTTTCTCCTCTTTCGAGCTGAGAGAGAAAGAAATACATTAATGGGTTTTTTTACAGTAAAAATAATCTCTTGATAAAATTACCAAACGCATTTTCAAAAATGATTTATGTCTGAGATTGAAATCGTTTTCATTTTCATTTTCATACAAAAAATAAAGTCATTTTAGAACAAGTTCCAAACGCACCCATAATTTCTTGAGATGTTAATCCCAGTTGTCCCCAAAAGTAGTGGTCTATATATAGTTGGCACCATTTTGCTTTTGTCTTGTCCTTACAAAGAACGGAAGGGGAGAAAAAAGAAAAAAAAATAGCTAATACAATTATCTGATGATGCGCTCTTATGATCTAGTGACCATATGTATTTTACTTTTTTTTTCTTAGGAAGATACTTATTAAATACAAAAAGAAAGAAGTATGGATCATGTGACTGAATTAGCAATTAATTACTAGGCACAATTTATTGTTTTGTGTTGACGCGTACTTATGTTGATCTACAAAGAAGAGTGAAAGGGGTTTATATATGGTGGAAGATTATTTTGCTCCCTTGATAGAAACTGTGTTTTAATTATTGAACTAATTTTTTAACTGTGTAATTTATAATTATAAGAACAATTTTGTGTTATGTACTGTAAATTTTTAATGCGGACATACACATGAGATTAACTACTAAAATTAATCCAACAGTTAAAAATAACAATTCTTATAAATTAGATATAATCATACTTTTACATTTGTCTTTTTTTTTTTTTTAGCGAATGTGGCGTGCAAAGTGCACAATCTTATAGAGGTTTAGGGCATAAAGAAAGAAAAAAAAAAGAAATTGGATATATATCTGTGTATATATACAAGTGTTTAATCGATCCCTGGCCTACATTGTATTATTCATGTTTTCTTCAGTCGTAACATATTGTTCAGAATAATCTACATTCCAAGATCTTCATGATCAATTTCTTTTGTCCTTTCTGCATATTATATGAATATATACACATTAATGAATGATTTTTATAACTTAAAAACTTTCCGTGATCATTCGAATTGTGTGATAATAAAGCGAGTTCATATTCTAGTTATATCCAGATGAATTGCAAACGTACTCGATCGTATAATATAATAGCCAATTCATGATCAATTTATTAAAGGAAAAAAAAAAAAAACAACAGAGAGAGAGAGAATAGCTAAGACCAATAAAGAAATTAATTGAATAAAAAATAAAAACCATTATCTCTTCAGGAAAAAGAAGAATATAATATTTTATTACTGCCAATACATATGACAACTTAATGTTGAGTAGCAATATTACAAATAATAATATTAGTGCGTCTTTTCATGTAATGGGCCCAAAAAAAAAAAAAAAAAAAAAAAAAAAAACTTTAGTAAATTAAAGTCTTGTTGACCTTAATTCACGTTTTACGTATCATGGCTTTTAAATTATATGAGAAATGAAAATTTTCTACAACAGAATTATTGTTTCTGTTCATGTCATGTGGGGCATATGATGGGGACCAATCATATTGAGAGAAGCTTTTGAAAAAAAAAAAAAAAAAAATCTTATTGAGAGAGAGAGAATAAAAGAAAGGAATGGATGTCATCAACAAATTAAAATGATAATCGAGTGTGAATCACATGCTTCAAAATTTTACAAAGCTCCCACTTGTCAACTTGTAAATTGAAATACTATCAATTAATAATTAGTATAGTAGGTCCCACTATGCCTTATGCTAGTTTTCTTGATGAAAATGCCTTATGGTAATTAGTCTATGATGTTTAGTACTAATATATTTTGATTGGTTTGTTTAGCGTTTATCTCGTCAACTTTTAGCTAGTTGATCATAAGTTTTTCTTTCAAACTTTGAAGTGTTGGAGAATTGTTTCTGAATCTAATGCAAACTGTAGAGTTTTCCCAAATTGATTGAGGGTGTTTAAAGCACAGAAAGAAGCGTCATCTTACGTGTGATATAACACGATTCGCTACTATCTTATAACTTTAATTTTTACTTTCGAACGAGCTAAACATGTTATGTGTATAAGGGTTCATCAATTTAAAGACACTCTACGATAGTTTATCAAGTTAAAAGGAGTAATTATCAAAATTAAAAATAAGTGAAAACGTGTCAATTGTGAAAAACTCAGGGGCAATTGCATTCTTCCTCTAAATAAAGCAAGCATGTCTTTTGCACTATTTTGTAATTATCATTTTTGCTAAAAAGTGTAGAATAGGGTAGTAAGGTAGGTAGTAAAGAGAATATTGTATAATTTATCTTTAAAAGTTGTTATTGCTCGAGTAAAATAAAATGCAGAAAGTAAATGAACACACAATATGATATCGCAGTTCGATGCGCACACCTACTCTGTGGGGCCACGCCCAGACAGTAAACAGTTTCACTATGATTTAAGAATTACAACCTTGACGGACTTATTCACTCAATGACTTCCTCCTAGACTATGACGCCGTCCTAGACTATGACGCCGTTGTGATGAACTCTCACAATGACACTAGTTAGTGTGTACCACACGTCTTCATCTTTAACTGCTGAACTCCCTTCAGTTGTTCATACTTTCAATGAGAAAAAACATAAACTACAGATTGTTCTCCTTAAGCACTGATTCTCTATCACAAGACTTTTTTCTGTAGTCAACCCCCCTTTTCCTGCAGAGCCACTTCCCATATAAACTCATTCCACGTATCTCATTTTTCAACTTTTGAACCTATATTCAGTTACCAAAAAATCCTCCTCAGCTGTATCTGCAACATCTAATATTCTCTTAGCCATCTCCACGTCAATGCCTTATCTTTCATTATAGCAAGTTATCTTTGACTTTTCTTTGACCAAGTCAAATTTCAAGTTTCAATTCTCATGTGCAGCTCAAGCTTAATTGTGTAGTTCACGTGAATACATATATATATATATATATATATATATATATATATATATATGCCATTCAACTTTCCTAACAATAATCGGATGAAGCCAAGAATTCAAATCCGAAAATCACTTGATCTTCATGCAAGCTTTATCTCCTATTTAAATTCAAATAACCAATGTCTTATCTTCTTTTGACCAATGTTTTATCCTTATCTCTCCAAATCTCAACTCAACAAAATCTGCAACTTTAACTTCAAATCTGATTCTGAATCTTCTTCTGCAATACAAAATCTTCTTGAACATGTTTTTTAAATTTTTACAAGATTACCAATAAATTGCCAACTAATAAAAATACATAACAAAAGTGTATGAGTCTGAATTTTTATTATTCATTCTTAATTAATACCTTTTTATTAGTATAGTAATTATATGTCTAAAGATTATTAATTAAAAGTAAAGAATAGAAATTCTAACTCATACACTTTTAAAAAGTATTTATTTTCTTGTCCTAATAGTAAATCTTGATCTTATTATGCTTGCCAATTTACCAGACTTTGAATTTGCATTTTGGTCTCGGATCATAGAAGCTTAAGATACAATAATGTTTTACCTATGTTCGGATAAGGTATTTGGGACTTGCAATGATCATTGTTATCATTAAATGATAGACCTTTTGTCACTACTAAATTAACAACATGCAAGGTCTAATAAACGATGCATCAAAAAACTTAAAAAAACTGTGGAAGAGAAAAAAAAAAAAAAAAAAAAAAAAAAAAAAAAAAAAAAAGAAAGAATCAGAGGTTTATTTTTTTCGAGAGTTTGTCGGCACCACTAGAGAGCACCTCCATACTTGTCTTGTTAACATGTGGTGCTTAGTTCATATAAGTCGAGAGAGGTGTCACTTTATTAATCACATGTTAAATGCCCATGGAACTTAGCTTTGAATATTGTTCACTATTCATACGAATCAGATCAACTTCTAAAATGTGATTATACCATAAGAATAAGAACACGACTAGACCCGATTATGAAAAACAAAAATGAGGGAGATGAAATAGTAGTAAATTTTTTAATTTCTTTACATTAAGAATTATATGATAGATTTATAAAAATAAAAATATAAAAAAAAAAACCACCCTACTGACACTTTTCAAATTTGAACCAACAAATCTTCATCTATTCCTCTTAAATTTATACCATCAAATATAAAAATTTGATACATGCAATACTGATGGGCAATTCATACTATAGAAGTTTCATCTTGATAAAAGCAGTGGCAAACAGTAGATTTACCAGAATTACGTGGTTCTTGCAGCCAAGAAGGCCTATGCAATCCACGAGAAAGTGTGTTTTGCCATGAGTTCAATCATAAAAAGAGGAGGAAAAGGTAGTACTCATCAAGGTAAACTACACAAAAGACACCAACATAGGTTTGAAATTTTGATCTGTGGGGGAGTATGTTCTTTTCTCAAACTTGAGTTATGAACTTGAGTTTAGTATGTGAGAGAAAACACTGTAGTAAAAAAATTAAATTTGAATTTTTGTAAGAGAAAATACTGTAACAAAAAATTTGAGTTGTAATTTAAATTAGGTAAAAGAACGTGCCCTAAAATATTTAAAAGCGGTACAAATATGCCTCAAAAGTAGGCTTCCTTAAAATAAAAATAAATAAACAAATATCCTTCTTATTGCATCAAAGGGCCAAATAACATTATGTCACTAGGGGGAGCAAATGATGCAAGCTTTAGCCTTCAACAGTTCCTATTTTGAGACTATTATTAATTAAGCTATGGTTTTGCAACTCATTTTCTCATAGATCCCAATCTCCTATCTCATACATTACGAAGTAGTTATTCCTGATCCACAGTTCCAACACTAAGGAAAAGAGGGAAAAAAGAAGAGAGGATGAAAATGATGAGAGAATCTCGAAACGGGCATTGCGACCGTGTTCTCTTATAACCGAGATTTTGCTTGCTCCAACGGGGCACTCTGCAAGAGAAAAGTGGAAGACGTAGTTAGATATGGTTTTTAGACAAGTGACATATCAGTTACAGAAATTTATGTATCTCGAAAGCATGGAAAATATTCATAACAAGTCACTAATAAACTTGCACATCCATTGGTGAAATCTAGTAGTGAGGCCCCACTATAAGTAGAGTCGTAAACACAGAGATCCCAAGTTCATCTCAATAGACGAGCTTCAGACTTTTCAACTAACGAGGCGTATGAATTGTCTCACTAATGTTTGAGGGGTTTAAAAGAAAGTTTAAGTCTTACAAGAGGAGCACCCTTTGCAGCTCTTTCGGCCAAATATGCGCAAGGCTTGAAGAAGTCTCCGTAAGTCTTGGACCATTCCTCCAATCTTGAACAGATGTATTTTGATCCAAGAGAATCAGCCCAGAATAGAAGACCACCCCTGATCAAATGGCACAGGATATGTCAAAAACGATGGAGTTTAGAAGAATGTATGTCTGATCAAGTATGACTACGTTTACAAACCTGTAAGGCGGGAAACCCATGCCCATGACAGAAGCAATATCAAGGTCAGCTGCTTTGACCGCAATTCCTTCAGCAAGGACACGGCACGCCTCATTCACCACAGGAAAGAATATCATCTCCACGATATCCTTCTCTGGCAACTTCACTAGCTGTATCCAGGTTCAATGCCACAATAAAGTATGTTAGTGAGGCAGCAAAAGAGATATATAGTTTGCTTGAGACGAAAGCAAGAAAGGGAGAGCGCGCGACCTTAGGGTCAATTGCAACACCAGACATGCTCCTTGCCTTCTCAATATATTTTTTCAATTCAGGATCCGGGTTGGCCTTGCGTTTGTCACCGTAAGCATAGAATCCTTTCTTAGTGGATTCACCTAAAATTATAAACAATTAAACACTTGAAAAGATCTATCAAGTTGAACCGATTTTAGTCCACAAGAAAATGTGTAGCCACCCACAATTCCATGAAAACGACTCACCTGCTCTCCCATCCTCCTGCATAAGTGGTATAAGCATGGACTTATATGTTCTCTCCGGGAAATGCTCAATAAATTGAATGCCAGTCGCAATTCCCACGCCAAAACCAACCAGATCGGCCAATCTGCATGGGAAAAGACAACATGATAACTATATTACATATACTCTGAATGATAAAATCCTTTAAATTTTCTATTTAAGAATTAATAACCTGAAGGGGCCCATTGGCATTCCGAATTTGGTGATCACCCTATCAATGTGGTAGACATCTGCACCATGTTCAACAAGCAAAAGACCTGCTTGTGTGTAAGGGAAGAACATCCTGTTGACGGCAAAGCCTGTGCAGTTTCCAACCACAACTGGGGTTTTCTTTATCTTCTTTCCAACATCTAGCAAGTCAACTATAATTTGAGGAGATGTCTTATTAGTACGGATGATTTCCAAAAGTGGCATGACATGTGCAGGGCTGCATCAAAAATATGACTTGGCGGTTAAGCTAGCAATCGAGGAAGAAGAAAAGTAGAAGGGAGCTTTAAACCAAATATTACCTAAAGAAATGGGCTCCAATAATCCGGTCCTGGGACTTTGTCTTCTTTCCAATCAGGTTCAAGTCAATTGTGGAAGTGTTGCTGGCAAGTATGCAATGTGGTGGGCAGTATTTTTCAAGATCAGCGAAAATTTGTTGCTTCAAAGAGACATTCTCAATAACAGCCTGTTTCAAGAGTCAAAACCCAGAAAAGGTTAAAATGGAAATAATACGCAATGCCAAAGGTAAAACGAACAGACATGATTTCATAATCACCTCGATGACCATGTCCACGTCCTTAAAGCTCTCATAGTCGAGCACACCCTTAAGAAGAGAAATGGTTTTGTCAAACTTTTCTTGTGTCATTTTCCCTTTCTTAACACGGCTTTGCAGATTAGCTGGATGATAAGTAGTGTAAAATAAGAACAAGTACGTCAACACGAGAACTAACTGCCACTTTGGGTTATAAGATACCGAGCAATAAAATACCATAATACTACTCAATAGCTTGTTTTCCCTTACCACCAGAATGATATAACTCGAACATTTACATATTTTAAACGATTATAAAATGACATGGATTCCTATCCTTACCTCTGACTCTACCAATCCCAGCTTGCAAAAACTTATCATTCACTTCTTTCAAAATCACAGGATAATTGCTAAGAATCAATGCAGTAGCTATTCCGGAGCCCATTAATCCTCCACCTAGTACAGCGACCTTTTTCACTTGTCTTGGCACCAATCCAAGGTCAGTAACCCCAGGAACCTGTTCACAGTCATGAAAATGGAAAGGATCAGCAAAATGATCGTTAAGGATGGTAATACCACAGACCCATAAGATCAAATCGATATGCAACTCTGAGACACAGTGAATAGTCATTACTCATCAATAGTAAAGTGTTATAATCTTTTCCGTTATAATAGAGACTGGGCTAAGATACTCAGATAGTGATAATAATCCTGCATTTAAATCAATATTGGGCCATTACTTAAAAATACCTTCTGTTATCAAGGATTATTAAACTGGCACTATAAAATTTTCAACTTAAAGCAACTTAAAAGTTAGCAACCAAGATTTCCCCAAATACTCAGCAACACACGGCCATGAAATTGGGTTTCTGACACAGACACTATCAGAGTATTCCAATTTCAATTAGTTAGAACAACTCAAAGCTACCTGGATCTCCCATTGTATAACCAAATTTTAATCAAACATGTCATAAAAATTAACTCTACTTTCCAAAAAAAAAAAATCCTTATTTCTTGACCACTCAACCTGGTTTTGACTAAACAGAAACCAATGCTCAAGACAATCTCATTTGTAAATTGAAGTCAAATTACAAGTTTAAAATCCTCAATCAAATTTTGAAAACAAAACCATAATTTCGAAGCTAAAAACTGGATATCAAACCCTTGTTGTTCCCCGTTGAGCAAAGAAGACATGGACTAAGCTCTTGCAAGTATCAGAATGCAGAAGTCCTTGAAAAGCTTCAGCTTCCTGTCAATATTGGATTACAGCAAACCGTCTCAGGATTGAGTTGACTACAATTTGAAAGGAAGAAGATGAAGATTTAGAAAGATAAGAACCTTCCAAAGTCCTGCCCTGGGACCCGAAACTATACCCTCTTCAATCACATCAATGCAAACCAATGGATGTTTGAGATTTGGAGCCTGCTTCCGGACCTGTGCTCTTGCAAACTTTAGTATTTCCCTTGCTTCCCCGAGGGATTCCAACTTGTTAGCCTTGTGAAGACTAGCAACCCAAGGTCTTCTACGCTCCACGATATCCAGGGCCCATTGGCGCGCTGTGCTTACCAACTCATTAGGTGCTACGAGAGCATCCACAAGGCCCAAACTAAGAGCTTCATCCCCTTTAACTGGCTTTGATGTCTATATAAACAAATTTAGGGAAGTATTTTGATTAAAACTTAGGTAGATGCCGTGCCAAAATCAACTTAAGGAAAGTTACAAGACCAAGGAGAACAAAGGAATAGTTGCGACATACCAACATCATTTCAAGCGACTTTGTGAGACCGACAAGTCGTGGCAGCCGCTGTGTTCCTGAGCCAATTGAGGAGCATTAGATTGACATAAGGAAAGGGAGGAGACTATTTACCAACACGTTCGTTCTAATTTCCAGTGATGATATTATGCAAAAAAAAAAAAAAAATTAAGTTAAACCGACAAGAGTTTCATCAGAAACGATAGGAATTATCAGTTAAGACCAGAGATAGTAATCTAGCCAGTAAGCATAAAAGACTGAGAATTTGTGACCATCCGTAATTGGGAAAAGGTTATAGGATCTAAAATACATTATTATTTAGTAGCCAAATTAATGATAATGCCATCACAGACCTACTTATGTTTCAGCTTTTCAACAAAAATGTGTTAAAAAAACAACATACTAATTCCATTAACATAAAGTATTTGATACCTCCAAATCCGGGAATTATTCCAAGCTGAAGTTCAGGCAAGCCTAGTTGCACAGTAGGAGTTGAAATACGTGCATGGCATGCCTGAAATAGCAAATAAAATAGAAGAATCAATAGACCTTACAGCAAAATTTATATGCCTAAAACATTCTTTAACTGTTAAAGAAATTGCAAGACATACCATTGCAACCTCCAGTCCTCCACCTAATGCAAGGCCATCAATGGCAGCAACCGAAGGCTTCCTTGCGGCTGAAAAATAAAGCAAGAAGTTAACAAAACAGCTCAGTCCGGGTGCTTCAAAAGAAAACTAAATTAAAATACAATAAAGTACCTTCTAAAGTGTCGGTGACAAGCTCCACTGAAATAAAACCAGGCCTTGCATGCTCGGCTACAAAATATCAAAGAACTCAGTCAAATATAAGCAAATGCATATACCAAAATGACTTTGCAGGGGGAAAAGGTCAACTTACCCTGTTGTCCCCCTTGCAGACCACCGAAAGCACTTATATCAAAGCCACCAGAAAATTTGCCCTTGGCACCTGCTCCAGTAATATGGGACATTAGCTTCATATCTTAAACACCAAGCCAGTATGTAAAATGCTGGGAATTATGTACAGCTCGGTATACTAACCCGTGATAACGATTGCCCTTACATCGTTTCTTCGTAAGGCTTCCTCGTAATTTGCTTTTAAGCCATATAACACTGAGAGAGGATATCATTATATCACAAAACAAGATGATCATTTTCTAAGAAATAATAACTACAATAAATTCTTCAAAATCACAGTTCTCACAACCGAGAACACTAAAGATATTGCCGAGGGCACCCAGAACAAATTCAAGTAACATGTCAAAGCCATTGGATTGCTTGCATACATGTTCTGTAAGTCTATATTTTTTATTCCCATTGATCCTTAAGTCTGGGTAGTGCTTGAAATCAAAGATATTGAAACAATTTTCCAATTCACAAGATAAATGCCATTGGAGTTCAACCAAGTTAACGGAATACATTAAGCCAAGGAGAATAATTTTGAAACCATTGTTATAACTCATTGACTGAGAAATCTAATTCCCTCACAAACTGGTAAATAAAGATCGCAAACTTGTACTAAGAGCTTGTTTGGTTGGAGGGAAAAGCAAAAGGAGGATCAGTGTGAAGGATTTTGGGACCATGCTTGTTTGGCAAGCGGGAATGGAATGGGCGAGTAATTTAAAATCCTTCGAAGAACCACAATTTTAATCTCTGCCAATATAAATGGAGGAATTATAAGAGGAAACACAAAGCAAACAAAATAAGAAAAAAAAAAAATCCTCACCGTCTTCTCTATATACCTTTTTTTTTTGTCCTGTTTTTTCCCTCTTACCAAAGATAACCTAAAGCTAGTTTTGCGTGGATCACAAACAAAATCAAGCATAGGAAACGTTGTGCAACTCTAAGAACTTAAAACCATAATTGAACAAAAATAAATGAATTCTGAATGACACCAGTGGACTTGGTAAATTAAAATTTATCAAAACAATTCCATTGATATTTGCCAAAAAAAAAAAAAATCACTTTCAATTTATAGGGACCAAATACTTCTTATTTGTGTCGAGCCATCATTTAAAAATCCAATCTTTTCAACAAAACATCAACAAACGAGAGAAAATCCAAAACCCCATCAAAGCAAAACACATAATTGAGCCAAGAAACGAAACGGGCACGTGCCAAATCATGTAAATAACAAGAAGATAGATCTAAAAGAAAAATTGAATCATATCATATCAAATCATGATTTAAAAAAAAAAAAAAGAATACCATCAAAAGAGAGGGAATTGACGGGAGGGTTGATGATGGTGATCAGAGCCACCCCATCAGCTCCCACTTCCATCACAGTCCGACCCTTTGCGTTGCTCCCCATTCTACTCTCTCTCTCTCTCTCTCTCTCTCTCTCTCTCTCTCTCTAAAAATATGTGTCGTCGTTAAACAAAGGAAGGGTCTTTCAAATGTTTGTTGGGTGGGTCTGTTGGGTTTTAATTAAAGTTTGTAGCCGTGGGGGGGTGGGAGTTGTGTCGTGCCCGATTTCACATTGATATGACGTTGAAGACGTTTTCGGAAAGTTAAGAAAAGCCCAAGCTAAGCTTGGCAGGTTCCGGATTTTTTTCTGAGTAATGTTTGAGGCGATAATATTTTCCACCACTCGCACTTCTGGAGAGTGGTCTTCAATCTCTTATGAAATTATGATTTACGTAAATAGTCTCCATATTTTACCCCAATTTCACTTTGGTCAAATGTCTTACTTAAAAGTGTGTTTGGTTTAAGGATTCGTGTCATGATTTAAATCATAGTTCGTGGCTCGCTATAGCATTTTTTCTCACAAAAAACACGCGTAAATTGAGTATAATTCTGAATCATGAGTCTGAATCCATCAATCAAACGTCCTCTTAGTCTTTAAGTTATCAGTTTGTTTTAATTTTAATCCTTTGTTAGTTAGATGTTAAAAAAAAACAAAAAATATATGATGATTTATAATAGTGTTACTTTTCATCGAGATTGCCAGCATAGTTTGTGTTCTATATGTATTAGTGCATCAAGTATATATTTTAGGATGTATATGTCTAAATTTTTATCACTTATTTTTAATTAATATTTTTTTAATTAAATACTTTAGTTAAAATGGTACTAATTAAAAATAAAGTGTAAAAATTCATATCCATGCCTTAGATAAGTTTAGTAATTTTCTCTATATTTTATCATCATTTTAACACTTAACAGCTAGAAATGATTAAAACTTAAACTCAATAATGAATTAGAGTTTGATACATTTTTAAGGATTATGAGCTACGGTGAGATTGAGAGTAAAATTTGAGAATTATGATGTATCATGTATCTTCAATGAGACTATCTATAAATGCGTTTTTACGAGCATTTAGATACAAGCATCTCTAGGGAGTATCAAATTAGTGCCGATATTAAATTTTTAAATTTGAACGAAAAATCACTTTATAATGTGTATTTATTGTCAAATTTATCATATAAATATTTAATTGTTATTAGTTGAGATATTGACTTTTTTTCATTCAATCATTACAACATTATTATGTTTAAGTAAGTTTTAAATTATAAATTCATTTTCAAGTTCTAAAAATTAATAATTATAATAAAAAAATTAGTATTTTAAATAGCATTATACATCGGTAATAGCAGAGTTATTAAGGACTGAGGGGGGCAACACTAGCCACTATCTAAAAATTAGCACGTTGAAATTTTATTCACATTTTTTTGTCGACTAGTTGAAAACACGTTATTAGCGTGTGAGATTCTGTAAATAATTTAATAATGTTCTATATCTTTAAGTTATTGTGAAGTAATTGTTTAAATTTTGATTTTAATTAGTTCATGTCTATTACAAAAATAGAATGTTAATACTTCCATAAACATATTATTTTTAGCAAGGATTTATTAATATTTATTAGAATATATTTTGCTGAGTTTTGTAATAATAAAGTAGTTTTACTTTTACGCCCTCTGCCTAGCATAGTGAGCTAGAGAATGATGCACCATATTTGTTATGACTATTATATAAAAATATTTTGTCATTTCTTAGAAATTATCGAGAATGAAATCCATTTTCTTCTTCTCCATTTTTCTGTTGAATTTCTTATATGGTATTAGAGTGTACCTTCGTTGTTCCTATCATCTCTGTTCATCTTCTTCTTTCTTGATGACGAAGGGTGGGGGTGGTACTGCCTATCAGATTGTTGTCGGCTTCTCTAGCTCAACCCCAATTAATGACTCTAGCAGCCCTTATTTCCTCCATAATGGAGACAACCCCAGTCTCGTCCTTATTTCTCACCCTCCCACTAGATCGAATTACAATACCTGGAGTCGGGCAATCTTGATGGCTCTTATTGCGAAGAATAAAGTCAAATTTGTCGATGGATGTTTGTCGCGTCCAGCAATTGATGATCTCTTTTTCACTGCTTAGAATCGATGCAACAAGATGGTTACATCTTGGCTTCTCAACACTATAAGTAAAGAAATAGCAGATAGCCTCTTGTACTTTGATGATGCTTCAGCTGTTTTGGTCGATTTGTATGAGTGTTTTCATTAGAATAATGGCCCTCGAATTTTTCAAATTAAGAAACAACTTGTCGCTCTTAGTCAGGGAGATTATTTGGGATGACAATACACGATTCACTTGGGTTTATCTTCTACGTGCAAAGTCAGATGTCCTAACGGTTTTTCTTGAATTTTTTAATCTCATCCAAACACAATTTGGTGTCACAATTAAGTCAGTCTTGTCCAGTAATGCAACAAAACTTGCTTTTTTTAAGTTTTTCCGTAAAAAAATGACTCATTTCATATCATTATTGTGTCAATAAGCCTGAACAAAATTCAGTTGTGGAAAGAAAACACCAACACATTTTGAATGTCTCTCAGGCTTTGTACTTTCAATCCAATGTACCTCTAGTCTACTGGGGGGATTGCATTCTCACCTTTGTTTATCTCATCAATAGAATTCTCACTCCCTTATTGTCAAGCAAAACTCCCTTTGAATTGCTTTGGCACAAAAAACCCACTTATTCTCACTTGCAGTTTTTGGTTGCTTGTGTTATAGATCCACATTAGATTGACACAATCACAAATTTTCTCCTCGTGCTAACCCTGCTACCTTTCTTGGTTATCCACCTGGTTATAAGGATTACAAGTTACTTGACTTGAACACCAATAATGTCTACATTTCCCGAGATATTGTTTTTCATGAACACAATTTTCCTTTTAAGTCACAACCATTTCCCTGATATTTTCACTCAAACTGTATTGCCTCATCCCCCCAATCTTCCTTGCCACATCTATCATCCCCCTCCCCATCATCTTCCACTTCTTCGTGTCCCACTCGCACTACCAAAGCCCCATCATAATTATTAGATTATCATTGTTTTTCCAACACCATTCCTTCTTCCTCATCCACTCCTTATCCTCTGTCTAACATTCTTAATTATGCTCGCTTATGCTCATCCCATTGTAATTTCGTGTGTGCCATTTCCTCCCATATGGAACCAACAACCTATGCCCAGGCTGTTGTCTTTCCTGAGTGGTAAGAAGCAATTGCTGCCGAGTTAGCAGCTCTAGAAAGTAATGGTACATGGTCCTTGGCCACTCTACCTCCGGGAAACCGTGTTGTGGGTTGCAAGTGGATATACAAGATTAAATATAAGGTGGATGGCTCTATCGACCGTTACAAGGCTCGTCTCGTGGCTAAAGAATACACTCAACAAGAGGGTATCGATTACTTGGATAGTTTCTCCCATATTACTAAGTTGGTAACTGTGAAAACATTGCTTGCTTTGGCTGCCATTCATTGTTGACACTTGGCCTAACTTGATGTGAATAATGTTTTTTTGCACGGTGACTTATCTGAAGAGGTTTACATGACCTTACCTCCTGATTTTCACCGTTAAAGGGAGCATATTGTTGGTCTTCGAATCGAATCTGGATGCGGAAGCGCGGTGGTGCGGGGAAGAGAATCGTGTATAACAAAAATTTTCATAAAACCTTTGAGATACTCTATAGATTATATTAATTTATGCACGAATAAATTAATCTCATTAATTCATTTATTAAGAACTCAATTAGGAAAAATACCTAGAAGCTGACTCGGATGATAACTTGAGTTCTTTGACCACGAACAGTCCTTGCTCCAATATTTGTATTTAGAAAACTAATGTCTTCCACATCAATTCCTAGAATCCACGAAGACGTGTGTGTGGGCACACATGAGACAAAACGGGTTACAATAAACACTCAAATTTCCACAAACACCAACGCATGCACGATGTGGAATTTTTGGAGAAAATTTTTTTCCTTCCTTTCTCTCTTGAGAATTTCGGCCAGCCTTAACTCTTAGGGCATAAATTGTTTTCAAAAATTGTGTTCACAATTTTCTATCATTCTCGTATTTAAAGAGTAGAAGTCAAACTTCAAAAAGGAATCAAATCTCTATCTCTAAGATAAAGCTTGTTAATTATATCATGTTTGAATTTGAAACAAAATCTCCTCTTATCCTTATCCATTATGGCCAGCCACCTTAGGGGATTTTCATCCCTGTGTGGCGCCAATTTGCAGATAGGGAAGGAAGAGAAAATCATCCGTTATCCTGTAGTCCAATTTTGACTCAAATTTAAATTTCAATTTAAGTCAAACTTAAATTAATTTGAATTCTAAATTGAA